CCCCCCTCCAAAAAAAATACATGAGATAAAAATGTGTTCCTTGGAAGAACTGAGTACAGTAATTAACCAATACGGGTATCAATTTATGATCAAAGCCTGATCCATAAGTACAGAATTCAGCTTCAATTCAGATCTCGACGACGTCAAGGCAAAATGAACGCCATGCCGAAAGGATCTGTAGCTATTCTTAGAAAGGCACTGTAATAATGACTGAGAGACAAAAAGATCAAGTGTTGAAGCCATCTACAGGTTTCTTATACGATGCTACCCAACCTAAGCATGGAAAGGATCATTAAATAAGTACCTATCTTATAATCAAAGCCATCCCAGAATCTCTCATAAAAGAATTGAGTCTGGAATACTTTGGAGGGGGTATCTGAGGCGTCAAAAAAATGCTGAGAGATATCCAAACACAGCTCAAAAGGAAGTCATCCAAAATATCAAAAAAGAACACAAGTATAGACTATGTCGCACGCGAGACAGTCCTTTACTGTCTCGGCACACCGAGAACAGTTTGAACTGGGGTCTCCCAAATCGGAACCGCTGCGAGATGCGCAGTCTTTACTTCATGTCTCGTGGGCGAGACAGACTTTTACTGTCTCGCCCACGCGAGACAGTATTTTTAATATCTCGCGGGCGAGACAGACTTTTACTGTCTGCGCCCATAGCGAGACAGCAATGGGCCAGAGAATCACGTGGATAACTGCCAAAATAACGGAGTTTGAAACAATGGGACAGGCAGTTAAAACGAAAACTGCCTGATGGGTACTGTTTCCGAGACAGCGTTTACTGTCTCGCGGTGCCGAGACATTGCAAACACCTGTCCTCGCCCGGCCGAGACAACAAACACTGTCCTCGACAGGCCGAGACCAGCAAATGCTGTCTCGCGAATGTTTTCGCGAACTGTCTTTGGAAGGTTTATAAATATCCCCCGAAGGCATTTTTGAGGAGGGGCTGATCATTTGAGCAGCTTCAGAAGCAACAGAGCAGAGAGAGGGCAGAGTACTCGAGCCTTCTGTAACTCCTTGATATTCCAAGGCTTTGACCTTGATTTCAAAGAAGAATGACTATCTTAACCTTGAGTAAGATATCATTTTCAAGTTCTCCCACTTCGATAAACGAGTCAGATCTAAACCCCTCACCGATTTCGATCAGAATCTGTGATTTGGTGTCCACGGGCTAACGAACCCCGGCAGCGAGGCAAATCAACGCAAGCAGTGATCCAAACAACGATCCTGTGTTTGTTTCTCCAATGAGTTGTATTTTTCATTTTGTTGTGTAAAAGAAGTCTTATAAAAGGCTATCTCTTTTTGAATTTATTGTAAATGCGACTGAAGATATATGAAATTCCATGACAAAACCGAACTTTTGACGGCAAACATCCCCAAAAAAATCTCCCCTCCTCGGGGCTAAACCTTCACCCCCCCTCATGCTCCTCCTCGGCCAGGACCCCCTCATCACCCTCCGTCGCCCCTCATACTACCTCTTCTCCCTCCCCGACCTCCTCACCAATCCTCCTCAGCTCGTGTTTCCTCCCGCTCCCAGGGCATCACCAAGTCGATGCCGCCTGTTCTGCGCCGTCGTCCTCATCCACATTCCTCTCTCCTTCCTCCTCGCCTTCATCCTCCGCCTCAGCGTCCCCGGGGTCACTGCCGTCGCCGCACTCGCCAACCTGAACATGGCCGTCTTCCTCCTCGCCTACCTGAGGCTGACGGGGGTGTGCGAGCTGACCAAGAAAAGCTCAGCGAGACAGAGGACCGATGAGCACTGTAGAGGACTTGACGAGGGCGGTGGAGGAGGAGGTAAGGGTGGGGAGAGGGATGGAGTTGGAGGGGGAAGGGGACGCGGAGGAGGGGAGGAAAGGGGAATGGTAGAGGAGGAGGACGACGACGACGAGGGGGAGGAGGGGGGAGGGAAGGGATGAATTATAATTTTTTGATAATTTTGGGTATATATTTAATAATTTTAGGAGGTAAGGGGGTTAAAACAATTTTTTTGTCGGAATTTTGAGAAAAAGGGTGTTATATATTGATAAAAAGGACGAGTTTTAATGTCTTGTTGTCACCGGAGTTTTTAAAAATATCAAACTAACAAACACGTTCGTATAAATATACCAATTTGGTATTTTAGCCAAAAAGAAATTATAAGGGGGCGAAAACGGTGACCGTGTAAGAGAAGCTTCCTCTGTGGTTCGTGTCGCGCGCCTATGCGGAAGCGTTGCACGCACACACAACGAACTTGAGATCACGGAAGAAGAAAGCCACACACTTGCACAAACCAAGCCAATTACGACAAATCAAACCAAACACAGAGATATATGTGGTTCAGCAATTGCCTACATCCACGGGGAGAGGATTGGGAGATTTCACTATATGGAGGAGAAATACAACGGGTTACAACTCACAAAATCACTCAAATATAACCCTAACCAAAGCTCTCAACTCCCTCACAATATCTCCCTCTCAAAGTGCTCAAAACAATGCTAATTCTCTCCTTTTCTCTCCTTAAGAAACCCTAAAAAACATGGTCCTATTATAATAAAACACAATCCCAAACAAAGGAGGATTCCCAAACAAAGGAGGATTCTTAACCAAAGCTCTCAACTCCCTCACAATATCTCCCTCTCAAAGTGCTCAAAACAATGCTAATTCTCTCCTTTTCTCTCCTTAAGAAACCCTAAAAAACATGGTCCTATTTATAATAAAACACAATCCCAAACAAAGGAGGATTCCCATACAAAGGAGGATTCTAAAAACGAGTCTGTCACACCATGCACCATGGGTGTGGCAGAGGGTGTGGTGCAGGACAGATTCTGCCACACCCTGTACCGTGGGTGTGGCAGAGGGTGTGGTGCAGGACAGATTCTACCACACCCATGGCAGACACCACACCAGGGTGTGGTGGAGTCTGTTTTGGGTTATTCTTCACGTTTTTCACAATTCCTTCGCCGTTTTCACAATTCTCCACCTCGGCGAAGTGTTCCCAACACTGAGCCGACACCAACATGAGCATCAATGTGTCGCCTTTCTAAACTCAGCTGCACCAATGTGGTTGCCTACGTACCCCCTCTCCCAAGGGATCAAGTCGCCCGTAGTTCATCCAAATGGCCGTCAACGGCCTCAACAATTACGAATGTGCAACAAGTTTCGACAATGATCAAACTTGTTGCTCGGAACCACCTTAGTGAGCATATCCGCCGGATTATCCTTTGTGTGAACTTTCACAATCTCCACATCGCCATCTTCAAGAACATCCCGAACGAAGTGATAACGAACGTCAATGTGCTTCGTCCTCGCATGAAAAACCTGATTCTTTACCAAATAGATAGCACTCATGCCATCACAATGAATGGTGACGGACCGCTGCGATATACCAAGTTCCTCCAAAAGTCCTCGAAGCCAAATAACCTCCTTCACAGCCTCCGTAACCGCCATATACTCTGCCTCCATCGTAGATAAAGCCACCGTAGACTGTAAGGTGCATCTCCAACACACAGGCGCACGGATCAAAGTAAACACATATCCCGTAGTAGACCGACGCTTATCCAAATCCCCGGCATAATCCGAATCAACATAGCCAATGCATAGCTGCCCACCTATAGTGTCCCGCTCATAAACCAAACCAACATTGAGCGTACCTCGAATGTACCTCAAAATCCATCTCACGGTGTCCCAATGACCCACTCTTGGATCGTGCATGTATCTCGACACCATGCTCACCGCCTGTGACAAATCCGGCCTCGTACATACCATCGCGTACATCAAGCTCCCAACTACGCTCGCATATGGAGTCTTCATCATCAACTCACGGGCTTCAACTGACTTCGGTGAAAGGCCAGCTGAAAGCTTCAAATGGGCTCCCAAAGGTACACCAACTGGCTTCGTATCCATGCTAACATGGAATCATTGTAGAACCTTCTTCAAATAAGCCACTTGTGTCAAATAAATCTTACCCTTCTTCTTGTCTTTACCGATCTCCATCCCTAAAATGCACTTCGCCTCGCCCAAGTCCTTCATCTCAAACTCATTTGAAAGCTAAACTTTCAACTCATCTATAGCTGACCTGGAACTAGAGGCAACCAACATGTCATCGACATAAAGCAACAAATAAATGTACGCACCTCCTCTCAACTTGCGAAAATACACGCAAGGATCAAACTGGCTCCGAGTGTACGAATGACCAAGCATAAAACCATCGAATCGCCTATACCACTGTCGAGGAGATTGCTTCAAACCGTATAGCGATTTCTTTAACCTACAAACCAACTTATCTTTCCCTGCAGCTCGAAATCCCAATGGCTGAGTCATATATATTTCTTCATCAAGATTACCATGAAGAAATGCCGTCTTCACATCCAATTGATCTAACTCCAAACCATACTGTGCCACCAAAGCTAGCAAAATCCGAATCGAAGAGTGCTTCACCACCGGAGAGAAAACCTCATTGTAATCAATACCTTCCTCCTGTGCATAGCCCTTCGCAACCAACCTAGTCTTGAATCTCACTGGAGTGCCCTCAATGCCCTCCTTCTTCGTGTACACCCACTTGCACCCAATCGCCTTCCGCCCCTTTGGAAGCTCAACAAGCTCCCATGTATCGTTCTTATGAAGGGACTCCATCTCCTCCTGCATAGCCACCTACCACAAATCAGCCTCCGCATTCTGCTCAGCCTCTCTGAATGTAGTAGGCACCATCTCATCGATACTCTCCACCGGAAGTGCATATGCAACTGTGTCGGCATACCGTGTTGACACCCGTATGTCTCTCCTCTGTCTCCGTACCGCAATAGAATCCTGAACCTGAGCCGTCGGTTCCTGATCATGCTCATGAGTACCCGTATCCTCCGCATCACCGTCATGCTCGCCTGGCGTCACCTCAGTCGGCACTCTAATGGATACTGCACTATCTGAACTCTGTGGAGCTGTATCAATCTCCACCACCTGTGAAATCTCCTCTGTCGGGTCGCTCTCCACCTGATGAGAGCTGGGAAGCTTCAAGATAGAAGCCTCATCGAATGTGACGTCCCTACTCAGCACAATCTTCTTATCAACTGGATCCCAAAGCTTGTATCCCTTGACACCACGCTTGAATCCTACAAATATGGCCTTCCTAGCTCGAGGTTCCAACTTATCAGTTCTAACATGATAATATGCAGGGCAACCAAATACCTTAAGCTGGTCATAGTCATGTGCTGTCTCTCCCGACCACATCTCCATAGGGGTCTTCCCCTCGATCGCAGATGA